CATACAGTAATCGAACCGTAAAAGATAAATATGGGATGTTATAACGATGCTAAAATAGTTTTATTTTGTACATATCGGATAGACTCAGACTCCAAAACGAAGGCTGCAGCAATGAGTCGAATCATAGTCATCATAAATTGGTATAAATGTTTTCATTTGTCGATGCCAATAAGTGGGAACCCTGTGCACTTTGATTACGGCTCCCCGATGATCCGTGTGTGTTTATCCACCGCCTGCCTGCTGTGAGATGTGAGATGTGAGAGGAGAGGACAGGAGAGGAGGAGGAGGAGGAGAGAGTGTGTAGCCTGAGGGATGCCTTCTGCCTCAGCTTCCTCATCCCGCCAGCTGTGAGATGTGAGAGGAGGAGGAGGAGGAGGAGGAGGAGGAGGAGGAAGAAGAGGAAGATAGAGTGTGTAGCCTGAGGGATGCCTTCTGTCTCAGCCTCCTTGTCCTGCCAGCTGTGAGATGTGAGAGGAGGAGGAGGAGGAGGATGGAGTGTGTATCAGCCTCCTTGTCCTGCCAGCTGTGAGATGTGAGAGGAGGAGGAGGAGGAGGAGGATGGAGTGTGTAGCCTGAGGGATGCCTTCTGTCTCAGCCTCCTCATCCCATCGCTGCGGCGACGGAGTGCACTCGGGCGTGGCTTTAGCATCCTTGACGTGCGCGCGCACGCAGCATCCGACGCCGCAACGCGAGCATCGCCTCCTATGTCACATTTTCGTCGATGAATCCTCGCGTGGTGCTGGCGGGAGCTTGTCCTGGTGAGCGAGCGAGGGACCTCTCACGTAGGTCTCACGCGGCGCCGCGTAACCGCTGACAACGAGTCACGAGCGGTGGAACGATCGCAGTGGCTGCGTACGCGAGGGAGAGCTGGATGTGTGGATCCCCCCCCTCCCCCCGCTCATGGCTTCTATGTATTCGTGGCACGGCGGTTGCATCCGTCATGCTGCGGCGCGTCTCTTATCCGCGAAACGTTTTAATTGCGTTTAGCGAAATTAATAAATTAGGGTAATCAGTTAATCACCTCGCTCGCGTGTGCGAAAACCCGAAGCTCCACATGGACGAGTGAGAGTGATCATGTCTGCTAATGGGATTTCGTGAATCGCATGCGTGCGCGTGCGCGTGCGTGCGTGTGCGTGCGTGCGTGCGTGCGTGCGTGCGTGTGTGAGTGTGTGTGTGTGTGTGTGCGTGCGTGTATGTGTGTGTGTGCACGCGCGTGCGTGTGCGTGGTTAACGTTTCTGGATTCTCCTCTTCTTCTTCAGAGAGAGAGAGAGAGAGAGAGAGAGAGAGAGAGAGAGAGAGAGA